ACATAAATCCAAAAATTATTCTTACTTTTTAACCACACATTCTTTACATCAATCACTATTCAAAAACTCATTCTTCAAAAAAATGGGTGCCAAACACCCAGTTAGTTTGTCGGGTCTCGATAGCAAGAATCTTGAAAGAAAGAAGGATAACTTTATTAAGATTCTAAAGAAAATAAGAATATGATGGATGAAACCAACCCATAATATTTTGCGTTGGTCATAACCAACTCACCTATTTTCGCACCCCTATTAAAATTGGACACAATCGAGAAATGTTACTCTTTTTACGTTTTATTTTTTGTATAACTAAGCGTTTCGATATTTGTTGAATTTTGTACAATTAGTAGTTAGTATGAGCGTATGGTGAAGTTACTTTCCCTTTCTATTTTATGTCAAGCCCAAAACTGAGTATGTAGCAGTGTTTTGTTTATTTTTATTTTTATTTTTATTTTTTGAAAACATGCTTTGTGTAGTTATATACTTTTACTGAGTAACTTATTTCGTTAATTGACAAATAAATTAAGATTACATTTATTCTTAAAATTCCAATTAATCAAAATAATTATAAAAAAAAATATTGGCAATGGAAGACGAAGACTACATATGTTTTTTGTTCAGCTAGATAGTTCTAGCGACGTAGCCTGAAACCTTCACGAACATGTTATGATTATGACTTGTTATCCGAATCGAATTCTACACAAAAGAATATGAATATGCATCGAGACCACTAGATATATTTCAAAATGAATTGATTTTGAGAATATTCAAAAGCTTGGAGAGTCGATGGTTCATGTTTTCCAGTCAGTGACGTTTGAGCCTCCTTTTTTGTAAAAGATGAGTTCTATAATAGTATTTTTGAAAAATGTATAATTAAAAAGTATGAAAAAAAAATTGAATTTATGTGCAAAATTATTTTATCGAAATGATGTGTAGTTAAAAATGAGATTTTAGAGAATGAGACTCAAACATGGATTTAATATCAAATAATCAACACAAATATTGAAAAACTCCCAGCAGTTAATTTTAAGGCAAACTGGGATAATGAATTCTAGACGTCTTCAATCCCCTGTTTGGCCACCGTTATTTGAGATTTTAATTTTTTAATTAGTATTTTTTTAGAGAATGTGTAGTTGAAAAATAAGGAAATGTTTGCGATTTATGTGTAATATTATTTTATTAAAAATGTGTGGTTGAAGAAAATAGAGAAAATGTATTCAAATTTTAATGAGAGCCAAACGGGAGCTAAGAAATACTAGTAGCAGTTATAAATAAATGCATAAAATATATTGAGACGGCAAAGATTCTTATTGTATAAAATTATTAGAAAGGGAAATAAAAATTTTATAAGCAAATATCTTGGTATATTCTATACCAATTGATTCAAATAGTCATAATCCAAGTCTTTCAAACTATTTTAATAGACATGAAATCATTGTTCATTAAGAAATTACAATAAAGAAGTTTCTTTGATTTTAATTTTTCAGAAAAAATCTCTTCCCCTAAATTGAAGAGGTATCTTAAAATCTTTATTTTTGTGGGGGTAATTATTTTTGAAGTAGCTAATTACATGAAAAGAATGTGTATATAATATAAATTACATACAAAATATAAAAAGGTTTTGGGCTGATGAGACAAAAATTGAATATGGTGATACAACTTTGTTTGACAAGTTGAAAAGTTAAAAGTTGCTTTTGGGATTAAGAAATTATTATTTGATCTATTTGAATAATTTTTTAGAAGTGGTTTGTCTGATTAATTGACCTAAGCTAGTTTTCTCGAAAATCATTTTACAAGCAAAAGATTTGTGAAACGTCTCTAAATTTTCAAAGAACTTTTAGTTGCTACTTGATGAAACTAATACTATTTTTCTCATTCAACTATTAGCAAGGTATTTTTCTTTCTTCTTCTTCCTTTTTTTTGGGGGGGGTTTATAATATTTTGGTGGGCGACGGTCCTAAAATCTGTCCTTGCAAGAATTTTGTCCAAATTACTTTAGTTTCCATTCATTTTGTTATTTCACATGGCCGTCACATGCTGTTAGGGGTGGGTAAAAATCAACCGAACAGATCTGACCGGGTTGGGTTGGTATTTTTTTTCAATTTTTTGGTGGGTTTAGTTTTTGGCAATTCGAAGCAGATCGGATCGGGTTATGGGTTAACCCATCAAACTCGACAAAACCACCCGACCCGCTCTGCTCCGCCAATAAAAAAAAAAACTCTAAAATTCTTCTCTGGACATCAATATTCAAATAATTTAGTGTGTTGACATAGCCTTTTTTATCCTCATAGAATGACTTGGCTTCTTTTCATGTCATGTCTATTTTTATATGTTACATTCAACAACTGCAGTTGTGCCAAACTGATAAATTAAGTATTTCATTTTCGGTTATTTTGTCAACTTCCAAAGTGCAGAGCTATCTCACTAGGTTATGGCCCCCTCTGCTCCCCATCTTTCTTGTCTCTTTGCTGAAGTTTTCTGTCATAAATGCTTCTACGTTGTTGTCCTTAACGTTAGAAGCATCTTTCTTCAAATGCTCATTGACCTTTCTCTTATAAAAATATGATTGGCTCTAGCCTCTAATCTTGTTATAGCATTTTTTTCGTGGACTCATCATGGATGAACGAGGTATGCTTCTACTTTTGGATCAAGAATTACCTCACTTTTGGATGATTTTAATCTTTGTGTGACAAGTCGTCCAGAACCAACCAACCAAACCCAGTCCGACCCGACCGATCGACACATTACATGGGTTTGGTTGGGTTGAGTTTCAACATTTACATGAGTTGGATTTCGAACAAATCAATACTATTGGGATGGGGCAAAAACCGACCCAATCCAACACACATCCACCGCTAAATGCTGTCACTTGGAGCTAGGAATTATTGGGCTCCCCATAAAAAATTTATTTTATTTCCAAACGCTCAAACTTTCAATTTAAGTACAAATTGGTCCTTTTGAACGAAACCTGTCCTTGCACATGAGTATGTCCGAAATTCTTGATTCAAATTTTGGATAATTTCCATTTAGAGAGACTTTTGTGCACCTAAAGTGATAGTTTGGAGATACGGAAAAAAAAAAACACCGAATGAAAATATAAATGCTACGAATAAATTGTAAATTTTTCTTTAAATAATTTATACGAGATTAGTTATTTTCACTTTCTCAACTCTCATGTCACTGTTCATAATTGATCCATGAAATTATAAAGAATATTAAAAAAAAAATTGTATTGAAAAGTAATATATACGGAACAGTAAGACGATAGGGTAAAATCTCATTCCACATATTCATTTCGTATTCGTGGAAAATACAACTTAGAGGGTTTGGTCTGATGGAAAAATAAGAAATGAGATTAAAAATAAAAGAAATAATAAAACTTAATTTGGTTTATTTTGTTTATGTTCATAAAAATAAATAAATCATAGTTAAACTTAATAGCATAATAAATAAAAATGAAATTTTTCTTCTCTCTTAGTATTACAAGCACATCACAGAAACTCTAAAATTACTGAGCAGTCAACTGTATTTTAAGATTTCTTATCTTCCCTTTTTATCTTTATGAAAAATTTAACACTCTATAAAATCAATAATAATGTGTTTTAATTT